CCAATACTCGCAAACCGGCACCTCGATACACGCATCAAATTGAAGGTTTTGAAGATCGTAATCGTACCGCCGCTAGAGTACACCGGAGAGGTATGGGAAGGAAATAAGAAGGGAGTGAAAGAACTCGAGGCGGCGCAGATGAAAGCAGCGAAAACCATCCTAGGATGCTCCAAGCGCACAAGTAATGCAGGCGTCAGGGCAGAATTGGGGATCCAATCCCTACGGTCGGGAAGAGACGCGAGGAAGCTGACATGGCAGTATCGCATGTGCGGGATGGGAGAGGAGAGGTTGCCGAGAATTGTATGGGAGGCGAAGTGGGCAAACAAAAAGAGGGGTAGACAACCCACGGAATGGGTCAAGGTTGTAGAGGACGTATGGAAGGGGCTCGACATCGACGAAGATGAAACGCTGGAAACGGAGGGTCTACAGGGGTTCAAGGAGAAGATATCTGTTGCTTGTGCCGAGAGAGAAGAGCAGAATCTGAGGAAAGAATCCAAGGATAAGGAGGGTCTAGAAGTGTACGGAATGTTGAAGGAAGGAATAGGGTTCAAGGACTACCTACATGGACCAATGGATGCAGGAACAAAGCTTAAGGTCAAATTCAGGACCGGGGACATAGGCCTTCGAGAACGTCGACGAAGACATAGGACGGTAGACGAGGAAGACGACGAGTTCAAATGTGATTGCGGCTTCGAATGCGAAGACCGTGTTCATGTAGTAGCGGAACGTCCGTTGTTCAAGAAGGAGAGAGAAGTGTACGTGACTGAGCTGGGAAAAATAGATGGGACGTACAGGGAGATGCTTGAGGCATGGAATAGAGAGGAAAGGACGGAAGCTGTACTGGAGCATAGGAGGTGGGTTGAAAAGGCGGGAAGGGATATCGTTAGGATAGACAGACTAGGGAAGACATTTTTGAGCCACCTTTGGCAAAGTAGAAAGGAACGATTGGCCATCGGTGATCTGTCCTGTGGGAACAATGCTCCGTCCTCTCGAGGACGCGTGGTCAATGGTCAAACCGCTAAGGCATGCAAAATATAAGCGTACGCCTTCCCCCCTCCCCCACCCCCTGAGGCGACAAGAAACGCGGTAACCTGGTTGCCGAGCTCACGAAGTGATGGGCTTGTTTTAAAACGTCGTTGCCAGCTACGAAAACCTAATCCCGACGACAAAAACCGAGGGGGTGTACTCTTTTGTTTTGCATGCCTTAGGAGTTAGGCCATTGACCATGCGTCCTCGAGAGGAAGGGGTCAACATTGAAGGGGGGGCTTTTATTTCACAACAACGTCGTTGCCAAGCGACGAAAACCTAACCAACCCCGACGGCAAACACCGGGGACGGGGTGGGGAGGGGGGGGGTCTTCCTCGGAGGTGTTGGCGGTTGTGTTGACTGATGACCGTTTCCAACATGCTCGAATCACGCGTGCGCTAAGAGGGAATACACATCGACACCTTTAGAGGAGTTTATAAGCAACTCCGGATTGTTGCAATATGTTGTGGATGGCGCGAGTACGCAACACCAGCAGTTATCACGGTCTGTCATATGTTGCACCGTACGTGTTGTAATGTGAGGTGATGTTGGAATCGACATAGTCATTACGTGCGAGAAGCCTTACCAAAACAATGTGCCATAGACGTTATTTCGGAGGGGAAACAAAATGATGAACCTTGTATGCGTTTGTACATCAAGGAGAACACGCGTCGGCTGGGTAACATGTGTGAGATGTGATCGTCTGAAGGAACAACAAAAACTCCCTCGCCGGGAATCGAACCCGGGTCTCATCGGTGAGAGCGATATATCCTAACCACTGGACTACGAAGGACTTCATTGACATTTTAAATGTTTATTTTAGGTATCAAACTTATACTTTTATTAAATACTGAGTTGAATTTTAATTTACGCTGCTGAAACCTGCCTGGTTATGTAAGTCGATGCCTCTTGCAAGTATAAATAAGTGCATTGAACCACAGAGTATAATGGTGCCGGGCGGTGCTGTTTTTGCGCATAATGGGTCACATTTTATTGGCCGCTTGTGCTGCGTTCTGTGGTTCTGTGTGGCTGGTTTGTTGTGTAGGTGAGACGACAGCTGCTGTGCGGTGCATTTGCAGGCACCGCGAAGAGGTCCGAAGAGCCGTACGGTGCGCGCACGGCGAAAAATAGACACGCGTTTGCCCGGGCAACAAATAGTCTACATTCTCGTCTCTCGTCACCACCGAAAGAAACAAACCGAACAGAATCTACTGACTTTCGGAGATATTTAGCAGGATACCAACCTTCAATGAAAACCGGATTGGTTGCGCACCGCAGGCACAACACCTCTGACTGTGTGAGATACATGTATCACCTCCCCTGCACCAACTAATTGTGAAGTCTCGATCACTCTCGGACAGCAGTGACGGCGCCAAAAACGGTAGCGTTGGGGCCACCTGGTCGGGAGCCTTCCGAAAACGTATCATGTAATTTCGGCATACACATCATCGTCTTCGTCGTGGAGCAATCTTACAGCAGCAGCTTCGATATTCGGTCCAGGGTGTGTGGTATGCATATCTTTTCTGCAACCTTTCGTAACGGGCCTGGCCACTCTGGCAAGACAAGCAACCAACAGCAGATCCCCGCGGGCAACGCGAAGTGGCAAAAAAAGTGGCAAAAGTATGCACGTCCCGCGGGCCCGAATATACTCACGTGCCTGCAGACATAAGAAAGAAGAGAGATGCAGTAGCAGCAGCAGCAGCAGCAGCAGGTTTGCCAGCAGCAGTCACAATCACACAATCATGACCATGACATGGCAGCATGGCAGATGGCAGGACCGTGAGAGACAAGCGGCGCCGTGTTTGTAACCGGCGTTCCTATCTGCAGGTATGCAACACCCCACCATCTGCTGTGCGGACAGTTTTCTTCACAAAACACAGACATCAGTACCTCTGCCCGTCTGTGCGGGCGTCCAGGCGTTGACTTCTCTTCTTGGTTGGAGAAATCCTGTCGAAAGGGCGCGGTGGGTGTGGGTTGTTCCTGCTGCTTATGTTGCTACTGCCTTTCGGCGCCCCTAGTTTTAAAGAAAGAAAGATAATCCGGTTGCGGAGCTGCGGAGAGATCGGAGTCCATCCACAGCCAGAGACGACATGGCGGCGCCCTCGAACACTGTACGCGTGCCTTCTCCAACCAACAACGAGGCCAGCTTCTTCACGTACCTCCGAGAGGTCTTATTGGGGGCGGCCACGTTTTCAGAGGAAGTGCCTGCAGCAAATGCGTCGGAAGCGGCTCACCTGCTGGAGGAGTTCCCCGTTGTCGGAACCGTGTGTAAGACCTTCCTGGCCTTCGAGCAGCTTGTGGAAACGGCCAGGAGCAATAAGGACGACCTCGCCACTCTCCGCGAGTTGTGCTGCGTGGTAGTCGCAGGGGTTCTGGACAAACGCTCGGACCGCTCGGGGCTGTCCAAGAGGTTTGAGGCGCTCGAGAAACACGTGAATAAGGCGGAGGAGGTCGCTCAGCTCTGCAACAGCAGCGGACGCGTGAAACGGAAAGTCTTGGCTCGCAGGATCTGCGAGGACATCGTCTCTGTCATGAATAACGTCGTGGAATTCTGCGCGGCAAACAACGTCGCTATCAGCAATGATACTAATGTGAGTAGGGCGTAAGCATTGTCTTAGCGTTGCCCGGGCATGGACCTGCAAGCAACAGAAATTAATCAATGTGGCAAATAGGAGTCAGAGCTCGGGGAAAACCATCTGGTGACAGACCATCTACAAATAGCGACGATGAGATCCATGGCAGTCACAGATGCGCATTCTCGGGAAAAAAAACAAGCAGCCTTCAACAGACGGAATCATGCGCACGGCGGTCAAACTCGCTTATTTAGCTGCTGGCCATACAACGTACAGCTGGCAAGGCGAGTCCCTTCCCACCGCCTTAGTTTTGTTCATGGTGGCCAGAAATTTCTAGGATTTTCTCACTTTCTCAGTTAATTTCTCCGCGGTAATTGTACTGCGGTAAAACCACGGTAATTACCGTTTCCCGTGATCCCGTGAAAAAATGAGAATTACCGTTAACGCCCAAACCGTTAACGAACAGACTGGGTTTTCCCATTTCCATACAAAAGTTTACCGCGCAAATATCGCTTTTCCCGTGCTTTCGAGTTACCGCGGACTACATTACCGTAAGAACAATAAGATCCCAACTACCGCACAGAAACACCAAGTGGATATCTGAGGGTCAAACAAAAATGACCGCTGCCTCTCTAGGCAAGCAGGTGCGCCCATCCACCCATGGACCTCTTGAAACGGAGGGTTTCAGTACAACTGTATCTCGTTTTTTGCTGTCATCTGTTTCTTTTTCTTGGAGTTTTTTTTTTCGGGAAATGTGTTTTTTTTCATTGGCCGTTCAGACGTGTCATTGTGTGGTTAACTGAACAACTTATACAGCTAGTTACCTGTACAAAATGCACAAATCTGTGCATTACCGTGGTGGCTGGTTACCGTTCAAGAAAATTGCCGTGGTGAGCAGTTGCCGTACGGAATTACCGTGGTGACCAGTTACCGCGGAGTTTACCGTGGTGACCAGGTACCGTACGGACTTTACCGTGGTGGCCAGTTACCGCCCAAAAATTACTGTATTGTTCCGTGGTTTCTGGTTAACGCGGGAAATGATACCGACATGAAAAACCGTTAACGAAGAAAGCCCTGGACATTTCACGGTTGCTCACCGAGTAGAACCGCTCCGCAGAGCGTTTGTTCCTTTTCGAACTTGTCACGGAGCGGTGTTCGCCCTTCGCAACAGTCGTGGAGCGGTTTATCCGAGGGAAAAGTCTCACGGAGCGGAGCGCTTTTTTTGTTTGCTGAGCGACGCGGTTGATGCACGATTTTTAATTGGAGTGGTTTGATTTCCTCCATAGCATGAACCGCGCGAAACCGACGCCTTTCAGATGACCGTGAGAAAAAACCGCCAATTCCGACAGTCAGTATATGGACGGAGTACGTACCTGTGATTTCGTGCAATACGTTGTGTTTGATGCATCGAAAAATGATTCTTCTGCACGGTAGGGGTCGTGTTTGGCGGTCCCCCGTGACACCGTACGCGTCCTCGCTGCCCGAACAGCCGGAACGAACGAAGGCGTTAATCGAGTAAATAGTGGTTGTCACAGGTGAAGGGACCATTGCCCTCATGGATACCTCCACGACCTGATTCGTTCCTGCGACACGTACTAAACAGCAGCAGTTAATTCCTCACTGCTTGCCTCTCTCTCCCTCTTGTTTGAACCCGCCATGTTGGTGTTAGGTAACACCAGGCGTCTCATGTATTATTCACCACTCACTAAAAGAGAACACTCAGTCAGATTCAAACACGGACATGCCTGCTACACTCAGTCAGATTCGAACTCAACAACCACTTGCTCTCCCGCACGAACAGCTCGGACAGTTGCAGGTTTAGCCTTCCCAACAGACTGAGCTGCAAGCAGTTTCCCTAATTCATTATGTGACATGCATATGGTTCAACTGTTGTTGTTTCGTGTCCAGAGTAAGATCAGGCTTCGAAATATGAGGAACATAGCCATCTGGAGATGGTCGGGCGTCAGTGCCTGCCAACGATAGTTATACACGAGCCCCAGCCTTACCCCCCTCTTCTCTTGGCAAATTGTCCTGTCAACTGTCTCACAAAGGGGCGCATTTTTTTTTTTTCATGTTTTAAAGTGGGTGTACAGACTATGCGGAAGCCCGTGCACGCATACGTCTTTTGTAAGACTCGCGCCATGCAAGAACCGTGATTCCGTGGGAAATACAACAAACGAGGCTGTACAGCGGTTTTAACCCCGGATTTGTCGGTGTTCCCGTGGATTACGTAACAGAGCGAACCGCTCCGTAAAAACCCGCTCGTACGGATCGCTGGGAAATGTCACGGAACGGTTTTGGTCGACTGGAAAAATCTCACGGAGCGGAGCGGTTGAAACCGCTTCGTGAACAACCCTGACAAATTTGATGGTCGTTCTGTCGTAGTTTTGAGTTTTTGTAAAGCAACGCAATTGTTCGGGTTTGAAAAATGTGCGCGCTGCAGCGCCTCGATTATATTATTTTATTGTCTACACACCTTCGTGTATGTGCAGACCTTGCGTGGGCTCTTCCTATTTCACACAAGGACGTAGCCATCTCGGAGCCCCAACCCCGTGTAGTAAGCCAAGCGGCAATGGCGCAGAAAAATCGAGCGAAGGAAGATGAGGATCTCGCAGGGAGGTCAACACAGCTGAGAGAGTAAAACTCAAGGCAAACAAACAAAAGGTTGAAACAAGACTGTTAGAGACTATCCATGTATCTGCATGTGTACCGTAGGTATGGGGAGCGCCGTCCTGACATTCCTTCTTCGGCATGCCGGGTCTAGCTCCGAATTTTTCTCGCTGACGTGGCGACCATGTCAATCGCCCGGTGTGTGGTGTGGCTTTAGTCACTTCGCGTGTGCGTCCAGTGTATGAAAATGTTTAAGTTCGATCACCAGTGGTATCACCTGACACCGAACTTAATTCTATTCTTGACGCACTAGCTATAGGACAATTGGTAGAGGTATTCGACCCTATGAAAGTGGGTTTGCTTTCGCTTTGAAGCAGTGAGGACGTTGGCAATTGAAATGCACGTGCGTTTCGGGTGCGTCGCGGCCAACCTTTCTATGCGCAGGCCAAAGTCGTCAAGTTAGGGATGGCCTTGGATGACAAGATTGAGGCGATGCAGAGGCTCACGATCACACAGGCAGACCACGAGGCCGAGGAAAAGGCGATGGAGAACTTGCGCAGGGCGGTCGAGACCAAAGACGAGGTTTCGTTAAACCTTCAGGTTGGCATGTGCTGCTGTGCTGGCAGGCTTTTCTGTTCTTTCCCTTGTGGCAGTTGCGTGAAACGCCGCAAAATCTACCATCCGAACCGTATGTACGTTTGCGTTGTCTCTTCATCCTTGCGGAAAATTGAGTCGTAAAGTTAATGTTGTGTGTTTCTGCGGAAATGCGAAGCCGGGGTGAAAAAAAAGTTGCACGTCTAGATTGAATCGCCGTCGCTGACCTCTCTTGGTGCTCGGATGTTCCCGCGGAATACTTGTGCTGACTGTGTTGATAGTTCCGGCTTGCGCATGAGCTAATTTGTGGAAAAACTCTGCGATCGTATCGTGGAGAGTGGCGTATCGCTTCCACGCAGACTGGGCAGGCAAGAGAGCTTTGCCTCAGCCCACCACGAGAGGACCACCACCATCGTCGCCGACCCTTCTTTGTTCCACCCGTATTTATTAGCAGACCATATGAAGACAGAAAGCCGTTGTATGGCATGCGTGCCCTACCCTTGCTTGCAGCAACTTTTTCGTCCACGCCCACCACCTTTGTGTGCGTGGTGAAAGGCGAGGCCAACCCCTCGCACTACTGTGTGTTCTTCGTCATGTTTCGCCATATGTGCGCAGGCGGGGCGGTGCAGCGGCCAGGAAGCCTCGGCCACTATGCAAACAGAGCTCGAGGTGAGCAAGTTTTGGAGAATAATGAACTGTTAATTTACGGTTCTCCTGTTGCGGGGTAACCACCGCCCGGTTTCTGTGCCGCAACAACGATGTTGCGGTACGGGAACCTGGCGATGTGTTCCCGGCCAGATGTATCGTACATCCAGTAGAGCGCTGCTTTGCGGCGTCACATACTTGGAAGCGGCGTTGCCCCCTCTTATTGCTCGAATTGTTTTGCCTTATCCGAAGTCTGGCGCTGGGGTAGGATATAGTGTCGGAGAACCTATCGGGGATGAACATATCTAAATACTCAGGAACTCCTGATCATAGTGTGAGTGTTTTGTAGACGCCGCTGCTCGCCCTCCCTCCTTCTTTTTTCGACATCGTCGAGTTAAAGGGCAAAGATTGCAAGAATCGTCTTTCGCGTGCCCCCTGATCGCGTTGATACAAATGAGCTGACCGCTGCTGTTCGTCTTTTCTAACATTTCACCCTGTTTGCATACACTAGGAGAACGGCTGGTAAAAATCATTGTATTCCCACAACGTTCAACGTGTTCGTAATTTCGTGGATCGCGATTACGCTGTTACCACCTCCCCCCCCTCGGTGCTTACTATCGGGATTGGGTTTTAGTCTCTTGGCAACGGCGTTGTAAAGCAAGCCAATTCACTTCGTGAACTCGGCAACCAGGATACCGTTTTTTTTTCCTTTTTTTTTTTTGGCGGTAACCATAATGAATGGTGGTCGACTAGATCATGTTGTGCGAGGTGGAGAACCCTCACTGCGCGCAAGGGGGATGATCGCATGACGTTGGGTTAAAATGGTCAAGCACCCTCGAGGCAGTTACGCAGTGCTTACAACTGTCTCAGAAAGTGAAGCACCAGAAAATGAATTAAGTCATACGCAGCTGTCATCCGTATGCAAGGAAGTGTGGACAAGATGCCGAACACCCTTAGCAGGATGCAGCGCACCCTTCATGCGACTCGCCGAATACCTCACGGCGCTTCGCGCTTGGTGATGTGAGAGCCTGGTCCGGTGAGAACCCGGCATGCTCCGTCCCAGCTTTGTAGGGATGCGAGATCAATGGTCTAACGACTACGGCATGCACGACTATGAGTACACCCCC